TAACCCTGGTACACGAGACAAACTTCTTAAACTCTTTCCAAGCGGCAAGCTTCTTATTTCCACCGTATATCAGGTTTCGTACAAAATTTGAATGTCCTTGAATTTGAAAACAGAAATTCAAGGTCTTGAATGTCCTTGAATTTGTAAAGAAGTACTTGAACGTCCTTAAATTTTTCTTGCTTTATAAAGGCCGTTGACCAATACATTTCCTTTAGTTGTATGTACAATCTGTTCCGATGGAAAAACGACGATGGAAGCAGTACAAGGAAGAAAAATGCTCTGAAAAGGTTGAAAAATTCACTGAACGGCAGTGAGATGACGAAACGGTTTAGTGGATATCTACAGAATGTAAGTGCCAAGCAAGCTCACTAGATTATTAATGGCTGAATGTTTGTGGTTGAAAATGTTGCCTATTTGTGCAGAAAATTTTGAAATCTAGAGTTTCTAGAATGACATTTCCAGCTTCTATGGATTAAGATTTCATATGCGGAAACCATGTTGTTTTGTCCATTTCTCGTTCAGACACCCTCATTTTAGGTTCTCCCGATCTCATCTTTCATTGGGGGAATTAGCCCCTACCCTTCAACTTTTAGGGGGATTATAACCCCTCTATTCCCTCCCCTGTGTCCGCGTTTATGGGTATCTGTGACAAGGGCACGTCGTTGACTCTGTGTTCTTTTTAGGACGCGCACGAGTTCATGAATATCTGTCTTGACCAAATGAAGGAGGAAGTCCAGGAAGCTTTGGGGGAGAAATCTGAAGATATCGCAGCTAAGGTATTTATAGAGCTATTGTAGTAGTGGTAGTAGATTTATTCAACCTCCCCGTAGGGCTTTTCAGGTTTAAATTACAACTTACATTACATCTTGAAATTTACAATATAAAAAGCGAATATCTATTATAAGTTAGTAAAAAAAAATTAAAATGTTAAAAGTACATTAAGAACCATGTACATCATAAAATCTAAGAATAAGTTCCTTTCAAAGCTGAAACGTTTGAAAACTTTTCATGAAGACGTTTCTTCCCTGCTTTCTTAAATTGGGGTAAACATTTTAACTTTCAAACCCACTTTTGTTTTTCAGGTTTGTCCTGTGGTCAGGAACTTTGAAGGATCTCTAAGAAAATACATCAAGTGTAAAGGGTAAGCCTATAATATTTTCTCATAAAGCCAGTTTAGGTCATACAAAAATAATTTTCCCGACTAACATAAGCATATTCAAAAATTTTCGACCAAGATAAGCAAGGCTTTCAAATTTTTTCACCGCAAACATAACAAAAGCTTTAAAATTGTTAAAATTGCCAACCATTTCATAACTTTGAGCAACTTCGACCATATTTTATCCCAAACTTTGACCAAATTTTCCTAGTTTTACCTTCAATTTTAAGCAAATATCAATTCCATTTTGACCAACTTTGGGCAAATACCAGTTCCATTTTGACCAACTTTGACCAAAGTTTGAGTTATTGAGGGGGGGGGAGGGGGTGTAACACCCCCCCTCCCCTATAGCGACGACCCTGTCTCCAGCTATTCAAAAACAGCAATGACACTCAAGAGAAGCTCAGATTGAACTTCCACTCATTGAGTGTGAGTGAGCTTTTAGAATACGGGCGATAGTGTTTTTCCATCTTGGAGAATTCCCTGTACTTGTATTTCGTTACATATTTGAGAAATCTTTTGTTTTCTCGACAGATGCAAAGACGTTGTGACGAAAGATGAACTGTTCAACCATTTGTCCCTAAACATCCCTCATAATCAATCGTAAGTTGAATAGCTGATCAGTGTTTGAACTTTGAAAGAACAGCCGGTCAACAGGCATTGTCCGGTCAGTATAGACAATTCCCATTATAGACTAATTTTTATCTTGGCCAAAAAAGTATAACTAAAAGTCTATAACCACATTTGGGCCGAAAATGGTAGCAATTTCCGCACGCAATACAAAAGAAAGCAAAATTTGCAAACTTTGCACGGGAAATTTTTTACTAAACTACAGTGAGTCTGTCATAATATTATTGTGTTTTTTTTTTTCTTACAGACGTTCGCCCACAAAAGTACAGCTGACCAGATTGTTGGGGCGCTTTTTTCAGGTGAGTGGCCGCAAATGATGACATGTTGGTCTCGTTCTGAAGAAACCCAAGGTGCTTGATAAATAGCACTCCTTAGTGATTCAAGGCGCTTTGTCAAGGTCATTTTCCACTTGCCCGTACCGTACATAGATATATTATATACACTAGATAGCGCATCTGTTTTAGTAAAATTGAAGCCAAGAATATTCCAGCGGTTACCTCCATTTGAATAGATGGCGGCCATGTTGGAGTTTCCCACTCGCTATAATAAACGCTTAAAAAACAACAATAACTTTCATCATTTGAATAGTTTGAAAATGTATTTGGAATAGGTTTAACTTAATGTTTAAGTACCCTGTTTAAGAAATAGAAAACTTACGAATCTTCTCATTCATGGGAATATCCTGAGTCTGCAATCACGGCTTCAATTTTTGAATTGCAGAATAATTAGATGCACTATCTAGTGTATATAAGATATCTATGGTACCGTACCATGCCGTACCGAAACGTACTAGTGAGCATGCGTAGATTGAAAAGAGATTGATAAATTCGCGTACTTCCGGGTGTATTCGCGTATATCAAAATGAAAAGTTGGCCGCAAGTCAACATTTTGGCCTACTATGGAAGTACCGTAAACCTCCGACTATAAGCCCTGGGCTTATACACTTTTGTAAGCGATTTTTGATGGGCTTATATACAAGGAGGGCTTATATGCGGGGGGCTAATACATGGACGATCTTTTGTGTTAGTAATAAACAAGTCAGACATAAACAAGTCAGTCCTAAACAGGGAATAAACATGTATTAATAACGCGCTTTGATTAACATAATAAGCTATAAAGACAATGACAATGTTTTTAAATATCGTTCTCTGCTATATTAAAACGTAGTGGGTTACTGGCCTTATTTTCGGGGGGGGGGCTTATATTCGGGGGGCTTATATTTGGAATGAGGTGAGCGTTAGTATATGTGGTGGGCTTATATTCGGGGGGGGGGGAGGTTTACGATATTAACCAATCAACATTCACCAAATTTTGAAATTTCAAAAATGTTTTGATACGTTTCGGTACGGTACGCTTGAAATGGAAAACTGGCTTTAAGCTCGCGCATCGAACGCCTTTCCGGGCAAGCCTTGAAGTGGCCTGATTTATATCGACTATGGATCTAATGGATGCATCATCTGTCAAGAAGCGTCTACATTTTATCCATAAAATCTGTGTATTTCATTGCAGGCTGAAGAGCTGGAAAGAAGTTGTGAAAAATGCAAGTGTGCTACTGCAGTGCAGTATCTGAAAATACGAACTTTGCCCAGGTAGCTTATGAACACCACCACAAATTATGAAATATTGAATGTCATGATTTTTATCATGTTCTTACTAATGTTCTTAAGAATGAAGTTTTTAAGAAAAAAGTATCTGAAAATACGAACTTTGCCCAGGTAGCTTATGAACACCACCACAAATTATGAAATATTGAATGTCATGATTTTTATCATGTTCTTACTAATGTTCTTAAGAATGAAGTTTTTAAGAAAAAAGTATCTGAAAATACGAACTTTGCCCAGGTAGCTTATGAACACCACCACAAATTATGAAATATTGAATGTCATGATTTTTATCATGTTCTTACTAATGTTCTTAAGAATGAAGTTTTTAAGAAAAAAGTATCTGAAAATACGAACTTTGCCCAGGTAGCTTATGAACACCACCACAAATTATGAAATATTGAATGTCATGATTTTTATCATGTTCTTACTAATGTTCTTAAGAATGAAGTTTTTAAGAAAAAAGTATCTGAAAATACGAACTTTGCCCAGGTAGCTTATGAACACCACCACAAATTATGAAATATTGAATGTCATGATTTTTATCATGTTCTTACTAATGTTCTTAAGAATGAAGTTTTTAAGAAAAAAGTATCTGAAAATACGAACTTTGCCCAGGTAGCTTATGAACACCACCACAAATTATGAAATATTGAATGTCATGATTTTTATCATGTTCTTACTAATGTTCTTAAGAATGAAGTTTTTAAGAAAAAAGTATCTGAAAATACGAACTTTGCCCAGGTAGCTTATGAACACCACCACAAATTATGAAATATTGAATGTCATGATTTTTATCATGTTCTTACTAATGTTCTTAAGAATGAAGTTTTTAAGAAAAAAGTATCTGAAAATACGAACTTTGCCCAGGTAGCTTGTGAACACCACAACAAATTATGAAATATTGAATATCATGATAAAAACTAATGTTCTTAAGAATAAAGTTCTTAAGAATAAAATGATAAGAATAATTGGGTTACGTGCACTTTAACAATATCACAATCATGTTACCATCTCATTTTGACTCTATTTTATTTTTCAAAAAAATGGATTTCGATAAGGAAATTGCCCTGCCCCACCCATCCTTGCACACCCTTTGCCAGATACGGGTACACTTCCAGTGAATTCATTATTTCAGCATGGTATCATTGGTATGAGGGCTTACGTGTTTTTGTTTTAGGGTAATTATCCTGCATCTACTTCGGAGCGAATTTGATCAATATAGAGGAACACAGGAGAAGAATTCGCACAGGATTCAAGTGGATAGATTTCTTGAAATAGGTTCGTGTTAGATATCTTCTTTTTAAATATACTGAGGGTCTTCTGGGCGGCATGTTGGTCCATTGCAAGGTACTGTAGCCCAAACTAGTACAGTCATGGCCATTGTTCAATATAAGAATCGACCATCGGCCATTTTCCGAGCAAGGCACCGATATGGACGTCTACTGATTGCTCTGCGCGCACATTGTATGGCCGATCGTTTTGTCACATTAATTTAACCATTTGGGTAATTTCTCTTTCATTCTTGCAAAACCGCAACGATAAGAGACTATATCCTCAAGTATATCTGCAAGTATATTAAATTTTAAATTTAACAAAAACCTCGCATTGAATTCATTGTAGGTAGTTTCTGCAGCTCTGACATTTCTGGACCTCCACCATTTGTTCCTAAGAAGACAAGGTATGTGCATGTGATAAGATCACTTTTGGTAGAGCCCACCCATCAGTCACGTTTGACTACGGGATGCATTCCACGTAGATGCTCAGCTCGACCGGAATGGACCATTTGCATTATAG